GTGGGGTTTTGCTTTCCTGTAGGGCCCCCTGCCACTGAGAGACGACAATGGCATTGTTCTGCTGGGTGAAAGAGCTGCCAAGTGCCGAGCATATGCCAAAGCACTACACTATAAAGAACTGGAGTTCCAGAAAGGTCCCACCCCTGCCATTCTAGAATCTCTCATCAGGTAGGCCCTAGCCCTTTGTAATTGCTGCCTTAATCCGAGAGGACCTCTCTTTCTCACTGCCTAGTGCCCCTTCACTGGAGTCACTGGGAGGCTTCGGCTCTGTGAAATCTGCCTTCAGGTCTGGCCAGCACATTTAAATGACATGTGGTTGCAGATGGCTCTCCCCAGTAGTCTACCCAGAATTGTCATTTCTGTTGACCCTTACCACCTGGGCTCCTGTTGTTTTTCCAACTTGTACTTCCTTGTCCCAGTGAAATTAGTTCAGAAGCAATTCAATGGCACAGCAACCTAGGAAAGATGGATTTTGTGTCTGAGTTAGATAGTACCCTCTAGGGCTGGAGTAGGTTGTGCTGGTTCCTGGGACTCAAAGGCAAGGTGGGGTTTTATTCACTAATTCAATTGGTGCCTGAGTCTTCCTTCTCTGGAGTTTTGTCAATATCAAAGGCAGAGCAAAGTCTGAGATCTGATAATCTTTTTCTCTGATTTGGTTATGTTCTCCCCTCTCTTAAGATGGTTTTGAGTCTTCTGGGTATGGAAAAAATAGGTTGTTTAATAAATTTTCTGCTGTTATGAAATTAGCAGCAGTGGGAAGTGTTAGCAGCAGCTCCTAGAGAACTGTTCGCTTCCCCTAAAGATTATCAGAGAAAATTAACTCTGGGATCTAATTATCTTCATGTAAATGCTAACATGGTTCATCATTTCTCTGCACAGTGAAATGAAAAGTCTTCCTTTAAACGCTGTAAAAAGTGACTCAGAGGTAGAAATAGAATTCTATTTCTGCCCAAATAAATTGGACTTTGAGAGAATATTGATTTGTAAAATGCTGTGTAGGAATAATTATAACCATGCCATCCTACGAGGCATGCTTCAGTTTCACATCAAGCATAGTAAATGTGAAAAGCTTGCATTTCTTCCTCATCTCCGGCTTAAGTAATGCAGCCTCACATAATAGCTAATAGAAAATCTGGTAACTGTGAGTACGAAAACTTCCATGTCAAATAACTCACTTTGCATATTCATTTCCTTGCTAACCTTTTTCTTTTTGAGATCTTTCTGAACCCTCCCTCACCCCACCCTTGCTGTTTCCCTGTATTTGAAATGACCATAGAAATATAAAGATAGAGGACAGAAAAAGTACTCAGGAAGGTCATTTAGCTTCTTAACCAAATGAAATTGCAAGTAAGTCCTCAGAATTCCCTGCAGGTTGGCCTTGGCTTTTGTTGCCATGCTGCTATTCTATGGGAAGACCAGTGTGCTCGGATTCCAGGTTTTGTCAGCTGAGTCAACTCCGCGCACAGCTCTACCTCCCTGCAGTTGGCTGGCCATGTGTATCTTCCCAACACCTTTCTTTTTTTGTTTTGATTTGCAGCTCTTACTTCTAATTTTGTAAAACTGCTTTTCCTAAGCCCTGTTGTGGTGTCACGCCATCATCTTCCCTGAAGGAAGTTTTAAGAAACAACCTGAGGCAAAGCTGCTACTAAGGAAGCTGCTCACCAGGCCCCCTTAGGCCTGTGGCCAGCCTGATGGGAACTCTTCCCAGGGGCCGGACCGCTGCTGGTTCTAGGTCCCTTAGCCACTGCTTTGCTCCAGTCTTGGGGATGTCACTCTTCAGTAATAGATTGAATTCCCTTCCTCACAGTGGCTACTAGAGCGCTCACGGATAACTTCCTGGCCCACCTCCCACAAAGTATAGGCACCTTAACCTGTTTTGACTACTAGCTCTTCTCCCTGAGCTTTATTTTATTTTTCCTACTTTTATTTTCTCTTCACCAGTTTGTCTATATTTTTAGAGTTTATTGTAGTACGTACATTTGAGTTAACTACCTTAAATTCTTTCTAAAACAATCAGGGTTACCCTTCACAAAAACATCTTTGTACAGCTTTTTTCTTTCTTTTCTTTCTTTTTTTTTTTTTTTTTTTTGAGACAAAGTCTCACTTTGTCGCCCACAGTAGAGTGCCATGGTGTCGCAGCTCCCAGCAACCTCCAACTCCTGGGCTTAGGCAATTCTCTTATCTCGGCCTCCCAAGTAACTGGGACTACAGGTGCCTGCCACAATGCCTAGCTATTTTTTTGTTGTTGTTGTAGTTTGACTGGGGCCGGGTTCAAACTTGCCATCCTTGGTATATGGGGCCAGCGCCCTATCCACTGAGCCACAGGTGCCGCCCTTTTTCTATTTTTTGTTTTTGTTTTTAAAAGCTATTTTTGCTGACAATATTGTTCTCTTGCTGCTGGTTCAGTCTGTCTGCCTACCTATTGATAGTTTTACCTGTGTGTTCCGGGACAAATCTAATCCCATGTCTAATCTCCAACCCAGGGCAGATATTGAAATAGTATAAAGTACTCCTGTCTCCTCAAAGCACACATATCAGTGAATATAATTGCTTCTTAGGGGGACAGAGGATTAAGTGAGTATTTGATTATTGATTGGGAAACACACACGTGCACCCATGCGGCTTTTATTTGGCTAGGCCAGAGCATCAGGGTGAGATCTGCGGGCCTGCTTTTGTTTCTCTGCCCCAAATAAAACAGAGGGTCTCATCAAAGCAGGATGCTTTTACTGCCCAGCCCCTGACATGGAATCCCCTTATACAGGGTGGACATAAAGTTCCTATACAATTTAAGATAGTTTAGCATAGTAAATTGCACAGGAACTTTATAGACACCCTGTATAAGGTTTTACTGATTGAAACATCTGCAGAATTAAAAATCAAAACAGGGGCTCGGCGCCTGTGGCTCAAGTGGCTAAGGCGCCAGCCACATACACCCAAGGTGGTGGGTTCGAATCCAGCCTAGGCCTGCCAAACAACAATGATGGCTGCAACCAAAAAATAGCTGGGCGTTGTGGTGGGCGCCTGTGGTCCCAGCTACTTGGGAGGCTGGGGCAGGAGACTCACTTGAGCCCAGGAGTTAGAGGTTGCTGTGAGCTGTGATGCCATGGCACTCTACCCAGGGGGACAGCTTGAGGCTCTGTCTCAAAAAAAAAAAAAAAAAATCAAAACAGGGCCCAGTGCTCTCTAGGTGGACATGCAGCACTAACAGTTGCCTGTCGGGCTGATTTGTCTTTAAAGAGATAGATATCTTGCTATATTGCCCAGGCTGGTCTCGAACTCCTGGCCTCAGGCAGTCCTCCCACTTTAGGACTACAGGCACAAGTCGCTGCACACACCCATCTTGGTCTGTCCATTTCTTTTGCATGGCACTCTTTTGTGTGCCACCTTCTCTCACATATCTTTAGGGATCTGGTCAGAACAAAACTTTACCTTCCAGAGCAACACTGACCTCCCCTTTTGGTTCCTGGTGGTTCTGTCCTCTTTGGGGTCAGAGACTGTGCTATGCTTTCCTATCAGAATCCTCAGTACCTCTTTGTCATCACCCTCTACCAGAACAGGTGCTTCAGAAATGTCAGTACTACTGGAATTAGCTTCACTGCAGGTCAAGTGGTTGGAGATGTTCTGTGCATTCTTTTCCCTCTGCCCCCGCTCTGAGAAGTTTGTCCCAAAAGTGTGAAGGAGACCATAAAGGTTGGTGTAAAAACCTCAGTGTTTTTGGTCAGGGGTATATATAGGAGATGAGAGAAGAAATTATTAGTTACATTTGCTGTAGGCATCTTGCTCTCTTTACTCCTTTTAAGCCCCTGGTGTTTTTCTCTTCTTCTTCTTCTTAGCAGTGTGGTGCTGAGCATCCCAGCTGCTCCTGCCTGCTTGTGGAAGTTTCTGTCCCATCAGAAGCCCTGAAATCCCATGAGCGGCCCCAAACTCCTCTGGTGTAGTTGTTCACAGTTTATGTCTTTGAAAATCCCTGAGGTTCCCAGCAATCCAAGTACTGTAGGTACAATAGAAATACTAAGTATAACGTCTACGATACACTGACTGGCTCAGGGGGATGATCTTTTTGGAAAGGCAAAATGACTTTCTAAAGGTCACAATTATTTGACACTTATTACGGTTGAAGATATTTTCCCTCTCTGTTTAAGTTTACTACTTTCTAGCAGGCTTGTTGGGTTGCAAAGTATTTTGAAGCTAAGTGGTGTCAATGGCTCCATGTCTTGATCACGTCCCAGCTACTGCTGCCCTTTTTATCTCTCACCTTTTTGTTTCCTGCTGCTTCCTCAGTTTCCCTGAATACTAAAACACTCAGTCTCCTTCTCACTGCTCATTCTCTGATTTTTTTTTACTTTATTTTTACTGTGCTTTAAATCAGTGATCCCCAACCTTTTTGGCATCAGGGACTGGTTTCATGAAAGACAGTTTCTCCCTAGATGGGGAAGGGAGAGACATAAGAGTCTCACAGGGGGAGCTCAACCTAGATCCCTCGATTGGGCCGTTCACAGTAGAGTCCATGCTCCTATGAGAATCTAATGCTCTGCTGCTGTGACAGGAGGCGGAGCTCAGGCTGTGATGCTCAGGGTGGAGAGCAGGTATAAGCACAGAGGAAGCTTCTCTGGCTCACCACTGCTCACCTCCTGCTGTGCACACTGGTTCCTGAGAGTCTAGGACTGATAAAAGTCTGCGGCCCAGGAGTTGGAGACCACAGCTCTAAACAGTAATAGGAAGAACTAAAACAGAAAATACTCAAGTTTTGAAGGTATTTATTATAGAAACAAAAGAAACTGAACATTTAAAACAAAACTACAATATTTTATTTTTACAAAACTAAAGTAAACTGCTTATATACAACATGAATTATTAACCAGAGTGCTGTCTACCTTCATTTTCAACCATTTTTTTATACATAGGATAAAAAAGGAAGCTCCTTGAGCTTGTTCCTTACAAAGTAAATAAAAATAGATGTATCTGTATTGACTATGAATATTGAAGGCAGTGTTGTGCAGGTGTCATGCAGGCCTCTGCCCCCCTCCTGTTGGTGCTTCCTGCTGTCCAGCACTATACCTGATCGAGGTGAGCAGGGGAGAAGCAAAAAGTCTGACTGCAAAGCCCAGTACCCCAAAGTCCAGCCTGGGTCAGCTCACCTCCAGCTGAATAATTTCTGTATTTTAAAAGAAATGTGAGCAGAGAGAGCCCACTCTGTCCAGCCCCCCAAAGGCAGGACCCATTTACTGTAACACCCTTGGTGCATAGGAGTTTATTGTGCTATTCAGAGACATACTCTTTCATCGGAGATTATAGGCCATTTCCCACCCCTACCCTTTCCAGCACCCTCCTCCTGTCCTCTGCTCTCCTGCCATCTCCATTTGTCTCCATTTCTGCAGGCCTGCTCCATAGCAGCCTCTTTCTAGGGCTTGAAGTCTTCTGGGCGGATTTTCATCTCCACCCGTTTGAGGGAGTAGGTGGAGCCATGCCAGCCATACCAGGTGATGCCGTCCAGGTGCTGGTTGTGCTCGCCCAGGCGGTAGTACACTCCGTTGAGGTTGGAGTCTGTGCAGCAGTTGTACCAGTATCCACCTGGCACAAGAAACAGATCAATGCTAGGAAGCTGAGTACATCCAGACGTCAGGGATTTTGTAACATTTTTTGAACAGTAGGGAAGCAGTTAGAGCCGGTATCAAAAAGAATACCAACATCAGACACCAGCTGTATATTTGGTAGGATTATGGGCTTATATCTGAATTTCTTCTCAAGTGGGATTATGGACTTATACCTGAATTTTTCTTCCCCATCTCCCCAAATCTCACCTTTGCGGAGCTGTGCACACTTGTCCAAGCAGTTGTCATTGTCCTTGTCCTTGGTGCTGAAGGCTGTGTTGTTATGATAGAAGAGGGCATCATTCCCCGCATTGCCACTGTAGTTCCCCAGGAAGAGGCGATAGCTGTTTAATTCATTGCCCAGAACAAAGTGGCTGTACTCAGCGTAGCGCATGTTGCCCTCCCAGTCCTGTTGGGGAGGAGCAGAGCCTTAGGAAGCTGCAGCAGGCCTCATTCCATTCTCCCCCCCATACCTCTTCTCCCTCTGCAGCCTTGTGGCCAAGATGCTTGTAGACAAACATCTTTTTGTAGGTGTGAATCTAAAAATACTTTATTACTTGTTTAACTCTACTAACCTGAATCAGAAAACAAGGGTGTTAAGTCAAGCATCTATCCCGACTCACTAGATGGCCTTGATTGGTGTCTCTTCCTGTATGCCTTAACTTTCCTGTCGATAAGGTATAGTTAGGTATGTGTTTTTGTCAAATCCCACTTAGTGAGGTCATAAGAGTAATGTGAAGATGTGGTGAGTACTTCAAGACCTTTGACAATGATCACCAACCAGTATAAGGACCTCGTGTCCCAGGCCAGAGCAAAGACACTGGTATTTTGGGCCAGCTGATGGTCGAATTTGCTCTGCTCTGGCCTAGATCAGACCTTCTGTACTACACATAGCCCTGCTTTTCCTCAGCTGTACTGCAAGAAAGCCATTGTAATAAATACACAGATGTGTAGAGAATCTAAATAAGCATGGCACCCCCAGAGCTGTGTGCAACCAAGTGTGGCAGTCCTTGTCCTGTCCTGGAGCTGCAGGCCTTATGCTCACCTCCATCTCCACACGTAGCCGGGTTGGCTGTCTGGAGAGCCGGTGGATGTGCTCATTCCCCAGCCAGAAGTCCCCACGGATGCTGCCAAAGCCCTGCTTGTACTGCTTCCAGTCCCGGTAGAAGGAGACAAGGCCACTTTTGCGTCTCTGAATGGTAGTCCAGCCTCCGCCTGAGGTCTCCATGTCACAAAATACCTGGGGCAGAAGGGAGCTCTGGTCAGGGACAGGCAGGAGGCAGGAGCATGAGGGCAGGTTCCTTAACCTGTTGCTGTCCCCGCAGAGCTAGCATCATGCACACTCTCGTAGTCACCCTGGCTCACAATGACAGCAGTGCTGCCCCGGTGTTGGTTTGCAGAGAAAGAATAATCCAAACTGGGGCTGGAGACGAGTGCATGTATAGTTTAACAGGAAAAATCTAGATACTTTTGATAGGATTCCTTCATTGTTCTCTCTTTTCTCCTCCCCTGAAGAAGAGAATTAAACTAGTTATGGGTGGTTATAGGATTTATCTAATCTATGTTAGGAGATTTGGTGTTTGGTTGATAATGATTTGAAGGGGTCGAACAGATGCCTGGATTTGGGAGGCATAAACTGAGCATGTTTGTGTAGCTCTCTGGTACTCAGGGTGTTTGCTTCTGTTTTGAGTTTCCCTTTTAGACTGTGAATGGTCCTGCTGCCATCCCTCTGAGGGGGCAGAGGACAGATGGTAGGACATGGACAGTGGCTGTAATGACCTCACCTCCAGCTCAGGGCTGCCCAGGAAGTCATCAGGAGGAAGCTTGTACACGCCAGAGATGCGGTAGTTCTTCTGGTAGAGGGAAGAGCAGTCATAGATGGCGTCTGCAAAGGAGCAAACGTGGGGTGACCAACCAGACTCAGACTCACGGCAGGCAGGGCATTCCTGCTCCATCTGAATCGAATGTTTAGAAACTAAGACTCCATCTCTGCCCAAAGATCCCCCAGTGTTAGTTACCCAGCAGTGTGTAGATATGAGCAAAGTGGACATCAGGAGAGCAAGAGGGAGCATGTTTGGGCTTCCCAGGTGGAGGGCAAAGGGATAAGTAAGCAGCATGACGTTCAGACAGCCGGCTTCAGGGTGGACTGCAAGATAAATTCTCCTGCAACTATCCTAGGCCATGCGTTCCAGAAATGTTACCATGTGTGAGGGCCACTGCAGGTCCTCTTGTTGAATAGATTCAGACTTCTCAGCCAGCCACCTCTATTACAAGGTAAGTCTTGAGTACCTCATAGTCTCATGAGGTTTGTTGTGGGTTTTTTTCAGAGGTAGTGGCTACTGCCAACAGGGACCCTAAGTTTCTCCCCCCCCCCCAAAAAAAAAACTAACAAAGCTAAACCCTCAAATGAAAGCAAAAACACCTTGAGGCCTTCCTTTAAATAGGCAGATTTAAAAGCTTCCCTGGCTGCCCCTGGGGCTACTGCTTTCTGCAGGGTTTTGTCTCCCTGTTCTACATATTAAAGGGTGCCAGGGTAGAGACAGCCTTTTCTGACAGGATTCAGAGAGTGGAGACCTTACTTTCTGAGCAAGGATCCCCTCCCTGTGTGGCTTGCGATGCTTTTCTTAGAGGTGAGAGAAGGTAGGCTTGCTGCTTTCTTTAAGGGGCTGCCTACTTAGAGAGTATAGAGGTGACCCACGGCTGGTCTAGAGAAGCAAAATAAGGAATGGTGTTCTGGGCCAGAAGAGTAAGAACCCATCAGGAGAGCTGCCCTTGACCCCCAAGAAACTCCCTGCTGGGTGGTAAGAAAGCCCTGTGTTTGGATGGGCAGGAAGTGGCACAGTCAGATTCCTCTGTCTGGCCGGGCCTTCCGCATGTCTGGTTTCATCTCACACAACAAATCAGGACTCACTTGTCTGGAAAATGGCCTGAGAATACCTTCCTAATCCCAAATTGAGGGTCACGAAGTCCATGCTTAGAAAGAGGTTTGTGCACGTTGGTTCAGATAACAGAATTTTCAAGCATAGTTTCATGTTTCTTTTTAATTTGAAGGTAAACCAGTGCCTCACTTCTTAGAGGCTAATCATGTCTTTGTTCTTGACTTGGTTTATATGGGGACCAATAGTTTTTATATCAGTAAAAAATGACATCTCTGTAGGATATACTCCTTACAACTAGTATTTTCCTGATAATTTCAGAAAACCAAATTTATATCTAAACAGTACATTTACAATAGCCCATCTGAGCCGAGCTAAGCAGAAACTGAAAATTACTTGGCAAAAGAAACATTAAATGGATCTTATTTTGGACCTGTTATAAGTCTTTATTTCAACACTGGATTTACTTGTTTCTTATATTGGGGAAATTTTTGAGAACATGGAAACAAATAGAAGTATCAGAATTGAGGAGCCTAGAAAAGCCTTTTCTTTCCCAAAAACAAAGGGTTCCTCAGGTGGCTGCGGATGGTGTTACCACATTGCATTCTGAGCCAGCGAGAAGAGTTATGTTTGCAGAGAGAGGACATAAAATCCCGCTAGTGCCCATTCCCACTAAATCTTAGGGATACCAGAGGGCTGTTTTCGGCAAGACCTTTCTTCCAAAGCCTCGGATGTTGTAGTTTGGTGTTCCTTCCTGTCCCCTGGGATTCCTTGTGGCGCAGCCTCTCGGCTCTTGGTAAGAAAGTGGCATAGCTACACCAACAAAGGAGACTTGAACCCTGCGTCTGAGGCTTGCTGTGTGACTTGGGGCAAACCACGTAATCTCTCAGTGCTCTGAGACGGTAACTCTCCTTCCTAATTTGCTGAAACATGTGAATAAGAGACCTGTGAAGGTACTGGGTAAATTTATAGAACAGTAGCAATAAAAAGAAATACTTTATAAGCCTTTACTAAAGGAAAGGTATGTCCCCAAAGCAGCCCGGTAATGGTTGTGATAACTAGATTGTATAGAAGCAGCACTGTTCATAGGAGACACGCGCTGTTTGATGGGGAGGTGGTGAGTAGTGTGAAGGTCGCTCCTTACCTGCCGAGGTCTGCGTGACAGTCTGCGCTGCCTGCAGCTGCATGATGTCGATCTGGTTGTTCATTTCAGAGAACTTGCTCTCGGCGTCCGTGAGCCGCGACTCCACACGCTTGCTGCTGCTCTCCAGCTCCATCACCTGCATGACCACACTGACCCAGTCCCGCTCCTGCTTCTTGCTCAGTTCATTCAGCAGGCTGCTGAGGTTGGCGACTTGGGCCTTGAGCTCCTTTACCTCCTCACAGCAGGCAGCCAGTTTGAGCTGTGCAGGCGTCTTACGCTTAGGGGGCTTCTGCAGCCACACTGGGTGGCTGACAAAGGCCATGATGAAAATACAGAGCCAGGTCCCAGCTGAGAGAGTCTTTTTCAGCATCTTTCGTGGGCCGGGCTGAGGAAGGATCTTCCTTCAGGAGAATCTGGATATGCCCAGCTGAGGTCTGCAAAGCTGCAGCACACTCTGCCCTTACACTCTCGCTCGGATGGTCTCCCCACTTGTTTTCTTTCTTTCCTTGCTCCTTCTTAGCCCTTCTCAAATCTTCAGTTTCTGAAAGTGGAGCTTAATGGATATCCTATAGTTTTCCTTCCCAAGCCTGAATGCTCTACAAGTCAGCATCTTAAATATTGTTTGCTGCCTGCACCTCCACCCCTGCCATGGCCGCATGGGGCTTTAGCCCCTCCCAGCTCATCTGGGAGGGTCAGGTGCCTGTTGGGTGAAGTCAGCGTAAACTTAGGCCAGAGGAGGGGAGGAGGCAAACAGGGGCGAGTCTTTCTTTCCTTGCCTGCACAGTCTCTGGGCTGAGACAAGAGGGCTGGGAATTTGTTTCCAGTTTCCCTATTAGATTGTGCCCCTGCCAGCCACTGGCTCAGCTCTATCAGCAAGCAGGGCAGGGTCAGAGGAATTTCCAGATTCCATTCTAAAGGTTATATAACCATGGGTGAGGGTAAGGTAGGCAGCCAGGATGAGAATAAGCCTCCCTGCTGGCCCAGGGAGGCCTGCTGATGTGGTCTCCTGCTGCTTATGTGACAGGTTGGTCTCTTCTGGCATCCTGCTGAATGTGCTTCTACCAGGCTGGTTATTCCTCTCTCCAATCATCAATGTTTTATAAAATCCCTACTCAACCGGGATCTGACGCTGTCTCACATTTGAAGTTCCCTAACTTAGGAAAGTTCTAGAAATAGAAGAATAGAGTTAATCTGGCAGGAAGTCAAAAAAAGACTGTGTAGTTTATATCGGCAGGGTTTGCACAATTGTCTCTTTTAACATACTTTCCCCTTCACCAAAGGAAGGGCCAATGTTAGCATCTCACACTTGAGAAAGGGTGGGAAGGTTACAGCAGAGATGAAAACTCAGCAGTGCCAGGCAAGGTTCTGGGATGGGTCCCCATGTTTCTGTCAGTTTTGAGGCTGAACAGAGCACAGGCCCATCCTTGGCTGATGGTTTCAAACTTGAGAAGTATATAAAGAAAAGAATTCTTATATCTAGAGTCTTATTGCCTTCTTTGTTTACAGTATGGTTTGCGATTTGAAATTCGTCTTCCTCTATATATGTATACTTTGTATCTGAAAAACAAGACTATTATAGTTTTTCATATACTGTATGTTGAAGGACCTTGTTCTTTTGGAACCAAATATAAAAAACCTGGAATTTCAGCAAACACCCTTAAAGTTACCTTTTCACTAAGAATATACACAAAGGTCCCTCTGTCCTTAAAACAGTAACTCTGTCTTTGGAACATGCAGTTGCCGTTTCTGTGTTACGGAGCCCCTGGAGCAGTCATTTGTACTGTTGATGTTCAGTGTGAGTCCTTCCCACACCAGCCTGACACCTGATGGCTCTCCCTCCAGGGCGTAATCCCCCAGAGCTCCTTCCAATCAGAAAAGTAATTTCTGTTCAGGCAGCTGGAGTTACCAATTATTTTTTCTCTAACTCGAAAAGCAGTTAGGGGATTGGGTGGATCGTGGTTTGTTTTCTCACATCACTAGTCTCCTTTGCCTACTAAGGGGTGAGGATATTGCTAACATCCTACATCAACTTGTTATTCTACTCAAGATTATGTTTGTGGCCAGATGCCATGGCTCACGCCTGTAATCCCAGCACTCTGAAAGGCTGAGACAGGTGAATCGCTTGAGCTCAGGAGTTCAAGACCAACCTGAGCAGGAGTGAGACCCCATCACTACTACAAATAGAAAAACTAGCCAGGTGTTATGGCATGCACCTGTAGTTCCAACTACTCAGGAGACTGAGGCAAGAGGATTGCTCAACCCCAGAAGTTTGAGGTTGATGTAAGCTATGACACCACACCACTCTCCCCCTCCAGAGTGACAGAGTGAGATTCTGACTCAAAAAAAAAAAAAAGATTCTATTTGTAATTGGCACTGTCTGCCAGTCTCTGCTGTCATTTTGCAAATTTCTAGCCCAATTGGGCACCACAGCCTTAGCTCCATGGAGTTCATTTCATTTACAAAAACCTGGCCTTGGCTTGGCACCTGTAGTAGAGTGGTTACGGTGCCAGCCACATACACCAAGAATGGTGGGTTTGAACCCAGCCCAGGCCAGCTAAACAATAATGACAGCTGCAACAAAAAATAGCCAGGCGTTGGGGCAGGTGCCTGTAGTCCTAGTTGCTTGGGAGGCTGAGGCAAGAGAATTGCCTAAGCCCAAGAGTTGGAGGTTGCTGTGAGCTGTGAAGCCACGGCACTCTTCCCAAGGTGAGACTCTGTCTCTGGCCTCAGTTGTTAGCATCCTACAAGGTCGGCTGATCTCCTGGGCATCTTCAAGATGATCTGGCCTTGAAATGTCACTGAGCTTAAACCATGTGCCACAGAAGTGCTGTGCACCATCAGATCACATGTATCATGCCATGTGACCCCACTCCCGCAGCAGCACAGTAGAGAAAGCCTAAAGGAACCATGGAGCCTGATAGCGGCCCAGCCGGCTTTTGTTTATTTTTCCCAGTAGCCACTTCTTACATACAAACATGAGAATGTTACAAATTGATTTTCCTGTCTGGACAGAAAATGAATACGTTGTTCATATTTGAACTCCATGTTGCAGTCTCTTTTAGGAAAGGTTGGAGGGGTGCGTGAGTTTGGATCAGGAGCATCTCGGTCTCAGCGTGAATGCTGGGATCTGACATTTGTTTTCTAGAAACTTGTTTCTAACATAAGGCGTAACTTGGAAACAGAAGCTTTTCTTTGCAGATTTTTCTTAAATTGCCTAGGCTGCCCAAATGTCAATTACTCCCCTACCCCAATTTAAAATAAAATAGCCAATTAAGGGTATTTTCCATGCCAGAAGATTAACTATTTTTCCAAAATATCCACAACCCTATGATGTCCTAAATTCTGAATTTCTTAAAGGAAAAAGTAAGCCCTTGTTTTGAGCATAGCTAAGTCAGTAAAGAAAACCATGGAGAATGTAGAGGACTGAAATGATTTGCCCTTCTCTGAGACGCTTGTAATCCTGTGACCATAATAATGGGAATTAACTGAGAAAACATGGGAAACCTGGGGTGGATACGATTCAGTTTTTCCTTTTCTCCATTTTGCTGGTGGTGAGAAAGGGTTAGCTCGGTGCTCCTGGATGAGATGTTTATGAAAATAAAACTTACGCTCTTAATGGAAAAAAACAACGAGCTTTTACTCAGCCTGGAAGTTCTCAAAGATGTCACAGTGTTTGGGCTGCACTGCCTTGGGCTGGCACCAAGGACTGAACACTTGGGAGTAAACAAGGGTCGTATAGCCAGGGCAGGCCCAGGATGGCCTCTCTATCTACCCGCACAGGAGTGGCAGGTCTCATTGTCTTGACAATGCCCCCGTCAGCCAGACTGCTCCTCCCTTGCTAATGCACTCCCAAATCTGCCTGCTCTTCACCATCACTCTCAAAACTGGGAAGAAAAGCAGTACCCTTAGTGCAGGCTCTCAGCTCTAGAATCTTCTCAGAAGCTGCCTTGGCTTGGCGCCCGTATTACAGTGGTTACAGCGCCAGCCACATAGACCAAGGCTGGCAGGTTCGAACCCAGCCCAGGCCAGCTAAATAACAATGATGACAGCCTCAACAATAAATAGCTGGGTATTGTGGCAGGAGCCTGTAGTCCCAGCTATTTGAGAGGCTAAGGCAAGAGAATCTCTTAAGCCCAAGAGTTGGAGGTTGCTGTGAGCTGTGATGCCACAGTACTCTACCCAGGGCAACATAGTGAAATTTTGTCTCAAAAAAAAAAAGAAAAAAGAAGAAGAAGAAGAAGCTGCCTTGTTGTCAGTTCAGTTGTGTACTTCATAGAGTATTTGGCTTCTTGAAGTCTTTGCACGAGTCACAGCTTACCGTACCATGTATGGCCATTGACTGTGTGGCCTTTCTATCATTCAGCCCCATAACTGTCTCAGCTGAAAGGCCAAGCTCATCACAGAGGTATTTTATCTTTTCCCTAAGCTTTCTAGTTTTGGACTTCTACTGAAGAATGTGCCATGGACCTATTAGAAATTATTTCTCTCAGACAGCGCCTATGACTGAGTGAGTAGGGCATTGGCCCCATATACTGAGGGTGGCCGGTTTAAACCCAGCCCCGACAAACTGCAACAAAAAATAGCCGGGTGTTGTAGCAGATGCCTGTAGTCCCAGCTACTCAGGAGGCTGAGGCAAAAGAATCTCCTGAGCCTAGGAGTTGGAGGTTGCTGTGAGCTGTGATGCCATGGTACTCTACCCAGGGCAACATAGTGAGACTCTGTCTCAAAAAAAAAAAAAAGAAAAGAAATGATTTCTCTCAGGCCTCCTCTTAGAACCCATTATTTAATTATGGCACAAACAAAAAGGTCTCTCTGAGTTCTGTCAGGATTTTGCAGCAAATACCTGCTCTGTTAAACTGCCATTCAAGTTGCAGAATCTAGTGATAATGCTAGCCCAGTGTCTTATGGTCTAGGGGGAAGACAGACACTTGAACTCTAGAACAGTGAGGCATGCTAGCATGAGGGGCGCAGAGAAGGGGCAGGCCCGACCCAGGTGATGCTCTGGAGAGGGGTGCAGAGAAGGGGCGGGCCCGACCCAGGTGATGCTCTGGAGAGGGGCACAGAGAAGGGGAAGGCCCGACCCAGGTGATGCTCTGGAGAGGGGC